CCACTTTAATCGCCTCGTCTGCATCCTCTTGGAAAGACGATTCTTCTACTGGATCTTCGTGGTCTTTGCCGACCAATTCCACTTCTTCTTTACCGTCTATCATGTCCTCGACATGATCGGTGCTGATGACTACAGAAGCATATCAGATACCCACGTACAGCACCATTATCACCATCTTCAGCGTCTTATTCACCGCATCACAGGTCTTCACAGTGAATCGCGCAGGTGATTACTGCAGCTGCTTCAATCGTAAGATCAATATTCCCTTACTATCGTTGATGTATGCACAAGTCTACGTTTGAAATGCAATTCGGATTGTTTTTCATGGCTGCGTCCCTAACTACAGAAGCGTTCGCCTTCTGCGTTTGTTGAGGACGTCGACAGGGTACATGGGCGTAGACAGGTTGAAACTGTTGCACTTCTATGACACACACTTTATGAGAGTCAGTTGCCTGCAAATAGGTCTGGCGCTTATTCGAGCAGGATAACAGGCTCAATTGCCTTATCCCTCTGCTTCTCAGTCATCTGGTGCTTTCTTCCCGTGACCAGCTCTATCTGTTCGCCAGCGCGGCCGATCTCACCACGTACCCCGTAGGGACCCAGCTTTGGAGCTGCGCCGAACTGTTCATCGTCCTGAACTTCGCCATCGTACCGATTATCGCACTCGTCTATATTCACCCTCAACAACTGGGTCTCGGTCAATTCTGCTGCATGAATCCAATTGTCTTTTAAAGTCAGAGGCATCTATGCAAGGTGCATGTAGCTGTGTTTACAGGGTCTATTGGTTAACTTTGACTTCAAGCTCTTTTGTTTTCCAATAAATCGAATTTCAAAAAGTTAAACAGTCATTTCCCCGCATTACACAAGTGAGCTCAGTGGGTGGATGAACGAACGGAAAAAAAGTTGACTAAGCTCTTTCACAGCACCACAATTTAGCGATTGCAAAAAATTGAAGGTAAAAAGTAATAAAATCAAGACGGATAGTGGTGTACAGGTGTTTTTGGAAAATCATTATATTTAGGGTTATGTGCCGTGGGGAATAATCGAATACCAGCACATGTTAAGTTAACCCAAAAAATGGACCACTATGGCGATGGCTAACGTTTAGGAAAGTGAGAATGGGCATTTATAGGTGACTTCAGTCGACGTTTACTTTTCACAAAATGGCGCAAAATATGGTAGGGTTAAATAAATCAAGTGAACGTTTTTTTCTGATTCAGCAGCACCCATTGCAATCTGCTGATTTCCGCTAAATTGCAAGACAGATTTAGCTTGCATGGGACAAAGGCTGTTTATTTTCTGATAAGCTTCTGTATAGCAGCCAACATATTGCGTGGCCTTAGCCAAAACGAGTCTAGAAGGAGTTCAACGTGGAACACGTATAGCGCTTTCATTCGATTGTTTGTCTGTGCCGTCACGGACCGATCACACCCCTGATTAGCTTCGTGTGAATCAGTGTTTAAGGAGGTTGCATATACCGCACCCCACCTACATCAACCGGCTTGTGCAGAGAGCAATATCAATCAATATAACTGACAGTCCTTGCCGATGATGACCACATGAATGCGGGCGCTGAGAAGGACAAA